GGATTCGAACCCGCCACCTTAGGTGTACGTGGCTGGCACCCTAGCCGGTTGAGCTACAGGCGCCGAGCCTGAAGCCAAGATCTTTAAGTTTTTTCTCTTTGCCAATTATATACCCCTGAAAAGTTTTTTCAGTCCTCTGCCTGGTGAATATAGGCCTGGCTAGCAGCATGCTGAGGAAAAGAAAACTGGTTTTCTTAATATTTTATTAGAAAGTTGCATTTAGGGCAGCGCCTGTGGCTCAGTGAGTAGGGTGCAGGCTGTCCCCATGTACTGAGGGTGACAGGTTCGAACCCAGCCCCAGCCAAACTGCAACAAAAAATTAGCCAGACCTGTAGTCCCAGCTACTTGGAGGCTGAGGCAAGAGAATCACCTAAGCCCAAGAAGAGCTGGAGGTTGCTGTGAGCTATGATGCAATGGCACTCTACTGAGGGTAACAAAATGAGACTTTGTCTCTTAAAAAAAAAAAAGATCGCATTTAATTCTTTTATTTATATCATACTCCTACTCTCAGTTGTGCCTGGTAGGCCTCAGAGAGTAAATCCTGAACCTTCTGTCAAGGTGGATTTTGGGAGGTGCTCAGTTTCGTAGGGTGTGGGTTATGTGAAGGGTCTGACAGTTTCTTAAACGTAGTTTCAACTGATCCCTCCTTTGAAGCCTCACTTTTCCCTTCCTTTCTATACTATCTGGGCTCCCCAATTCCTGAGTCACTGGAGTATAAATCAGATGGCTTCTTGGCTTTCTTCACTGCCAACTTAGGACTCAGTTTCAGGGCGCTACTGAGTCAGTTAACACCTCATGTCTGCTCTCCAGTTCTAGAATTTCGTCTCTTGCCTTTTCTCCCTTTCCTGTGGGGTTTTGGGAAAGAGCAGAGTGTAATGTGTATGTGTAGTTGGCCAGCTTTAAGTGCATGTCCCAAGTGTCTCTTTCCATTTCACATCCCCCAAAAGTGTACCTGTCCACCTTTTCTTTTCTTTTTTATTTTTTTGAGACAGAGTCTCTCTCTCTGTTGCCCTCAGTAGAGTGCCATGGCTTCATACCTAACAGCAAACTCAAATTCTTGGGTATAAGTGATTCTCTTGCCTCAGCCTCCCAAGTAGCTGGGACTACAGATACACACCACAATGCCAAGCTACTTTTTGGTTTTAGTTGTTGTTTGACAGGCCTGGGCTGGATTCAAACAGGCCACCGCTGATGTATGTGGCTGGCACCCTAGCTGCTGAGCTACAGCAGCTGTCCTCCTTTTCTTCTCTCTCTACCTACTCCCCTCCCCGTGCATGTCTCTCCACCTCCACTTTTACTCAGGTAAACATTCTGGAGTTCTGAAACTGGGTTCAATAGAACTACCCTTTTACTGGCAGGCTATGTTCAGTCAGCTAACATACCTTATCATGCCCACAACAGGCAGTCTTTAAAAGACTAAAAGAGGCTCAGCGCCTGTAGTTCAGTGGCCAGGACACTGGCCCCGTACACCAGGGCTGGTGGGTTTGCACTCAGCCCTGGCCTGCCAAACAACAATGACAACTACAACAAAAAAATAGCTGGGTGTATTGGAGGGCGTCTGTAGTCCCAGCTACTTGGGAGGCTGAAGCAGGAGAATCGCTTGAGCCCAAGAGTTTGAGGTTGCTGTGAGCTGTGGCACCACAGCACTCTACCAAGGGAGACACAATGAGACTCAGTCTCAAAAAAATAAATTAATTAAATAAATAACTGAAAGAAAAATGGGTACCAGCCAAATGTTTTCTTTTCTTATTTTTCAGGGAGCACTATTCATAAGATGACTGTGGATAGACAGTATATGGGTGCGTCTAAGCGGAAATGCATTGTGTGGGGTGTTGTCTTCTTGTCGGATGGCACTGTCATAAGTGTGGACTCTGCTGGGAAAGTACAGTTCTGGGACTCAGCTACTGGGACGCTTGTGAAGAACCATCTCATCTCAAACGCTGATGTGCTGTCCATTGCCGTAGCCGATGTGAGTACAGTCCCCATTTTGAGTGATTGACGTGCATCCTGGGTAGCTAGTAAGAGAAAGCAGGGTTAGTGACATGCCCTGTAAAAATATCTAGATGTCACATCCTGATCCCGATGTATTGGAGGAAGATGAGTTTAGGAAAATGCATTTGACACATCATTTCCATGGTATCTAAGAATTGATTAGAGAATACTGTTAGCAGAGAGATTTTCTTCTGACACTTCTCACCCAGAGTTCATTCAGTCTGATTGTACATAGACACAAGAAAGATCTTGAAAAGCCCTCTTTCCTCTCTCTGTATCATTGTCTATGTTCGGATGTTACAAGATAACTTTATAGTGATTTTAAAAATGTTCGTTTCCTCCTTTTGCAAAATGCCTTAGGTAACTTTGTGTTGAACAAGTATTGTTTTCCTCCTTCCTTTTGGTATATGAATTCTAATTCAGAAATCTTTGAGTATTTTAACAGTGAAGCATGGAAAGTGACAGTGAGATTTGTTAACTGGATCCTTTTTCTATTGCTGCTTAGTTTGAGAATCAGGCTATCCTAAGTGGGCATTCATGTTCTAGTGTTGAGTTTATTCATGCCCACTTTTTTTGCCTATAAATGTTTCTATCACATTAACATGTTCTCTTTTCTTTCTTTTTATTTATTTATTTATTTTATTTTTTATTTTTTTTGAGACAGAGTCTCTTGTCCTGGGTAAAGTGCTGTGGCATCACAGCTCACAGCAACCTCCAACTCCTGGGCTTAAGCAATTCTGTTGCCTCAGCCTCCCAAGTAGCTGGGACTACAGGCGCCCACCACAACACCTGGGTATTTTTTAGTTGCGGTTGTCATTGTTGTTTTGGCAGGCCAGGGTTGGATTTGAACCTGCCAGCTCTGGTGTATGTGGCTGGCACCTTAGCTGCTTGATCTATAGGCACGGAGCCTTATTTTTTTTTTTATTTTTTTTTATTTTTTATTTTTTTTGGACCAGAGCTGGGTTTGAACCTGCCACCTCCAGCATATGGAGCTGGTACCCTACCCTTTTGAACCACAGGCACCACCCTAATTTTTTTTTTTTTTAGATAGTCTCACTGTTTTGCCCTAAGTCGAGTGCCTTGGCATCATAGCTCACAGCAACCTCAAAGTCTTAGGCTCAAACAATCCTTCTGCCTAACCCTCCCGAGTAGCAGGGACTATAGGTGCCTGCCACAGTGCCTGGCTATTTTTAGAGACAGGGTCTTGCTTTTGCTCAGGCTGATCTTAAACTCGTGAGCTGAGGCAGCCCACCCACCTCAGTCTCCCAGAGTGCTAGTATTACAGGCATGAGCCACCTCACCTGGCCTATAATGCTTTTTTAAGTGTAAAATTTATATTTTGTAAACATTTAAACTGGTTTTTGAGACTGAGTCTTGTTCTGTCACCCAGGCTGGAGTGTAGTGGTATGATCATAACTCACTACAACCTCAAACTCAGGCTCAAGTGGGCTTTTCTATGTCAGCCTACTAAGTATACCACCATATCCAGCTAATTTTTCTTTTCTTTTTTTTTTTCTTTTTTTTTTTTGTAGAGACAGGGTCTCTAAATTTTCTTTTCTTTTCTTTCTTTCTTTTTTTTTTTTTTTTGGTAGAGAGAAAGGGTCTCTAATTTTTCTTTCTCTCTTTCTTTTATTTTTAATAGAGAGAGGGTCTTGCTTTTGCTTCCTTTTGCAGGCTGGTCTTGAACTCCTGGCCTCAAGCAGTTCTCCTACCTCAGCCTCCTAGAGCACTAGGATTACGGGTGTTGAGCCACTGCTCCTGGACTGACACTATTTTTTTAAACATAGAATTTGTATTTTACTTATTGAAAGAGTACCATGAGACCTAAATTTTGTCGTGTCACTCTTAGGCATATATGAAAAGGAAAATATAAGCAAAATAAACTGATTAAGATATTCCTAGAACTGGTGGCGCCTGCGGCTCAAAGGAGTAGGGCACCCTGCCCCATATGCCAGAGGTGGCGGGTTCAAACCCAGCCCCAGCCAAAAACTGCAAATAAAAAAAAAAAAAGATATTCCTAGAACTACATTCATAGCTAGACTGACTCACTTGTCAACTTAGTCCTCAAGTTGAGTCCTCAAGGTCCTTGTTTTCCCATACATTGCCTCTGCTATCAGTAGTCTTGATGATAAAGCTACACTGTACTCTCTTATATTCTCTTTGGGCTTTTGACAACCATTCTGCAAATTTTATTCTTTTTTTTGAGACAGATTTATTCTGTCACCCAGGCTGAGTGCCAGTGGCCTCATCATAGCTCACTGCAGGCTCACTCCCTGGCTCAAATGATCCTCCTGTCTCAGCCTTCTAAGTAGCTGGGACTGTGGGTGCCAGCCACAACACCCAGCTAATTTTTTAATTTTTATTCTTATTTATTTATTTATTTTTTATTTGTTTTTGGTTTTGATTTTTGGGTTTTTTTTGAGACAGAGCCTCAAGCTATCACCCTGGGTAGTGTGCCCTGCCGTGGCATCACAGCTCACAGCAACCTCCAACTCCTGGGCTCAAGGGATTCTCCTGCCTCAGCCTCCCAAGTATTTGGGACTACAGGCGCCCACCATAATGCCCGGCTATTTTTTGGTTGCAGCTGTCATCACTGTTTGGCAGGCCCAGGTTGGTTTCGAACCCGCCAGCTCAGGTGTATGTAGCTGGCGCCTTAGCTGCTTGAGCCATAGACACCTAGCCAATTTTTTTATTTTTAGTAGAGACAGGGTCTTACTTTGTTCAGACTGATCCCAAACTCCTTGACCTCAAGTGATCCTTCCACCTTGACTTCTCAGAGCACTAGGATTTAGGATTATTGGTTTGAGCCATAATTCTCCAAGTTTTGGCTGTTTATCTGCAGATGTCACACATTCTGCAAACAGACATTTTAAGTTATCCTGATTTTAGAGATGTTAAAACATGGGAAAATGTTTGCCTCAGAATCAGTGATTTATGGTACTTTTTTTTTTTTTAATTGAAAAATACAATTGTACAAATACCAACTGTCATAAGTGATTATCACAGACTCTGGAGTCACGCACACATAGACCTGAGTCCCAGTGGTACCACCTACTTACATGTCTCCTTGCTAAAGTTACTTATTTCTAAGTCTCAGTTTCCTTCCCCTTTGAAAAATAAACAAAAATATCCCCCATGGATGCCAGTAATGCATACCTTATAGAGTTTGGGGCAGGATTAACTGGATAGTGCATGTAAGTGTGCTAAGTACAGTGTCTGGCACAGAGTGAGTGTGGTATTGTCATTATCATTTTCAAATCTTTTTGAAACTGATTCTAATTTCAAGGCTTTTCTCCATTATACTCTCTTGCCAGAACAGCTGCTTATTTTTTAGATTTATTTTTAATGGATTTTCGTTGGCTAAAGAGTGAATTGTGGCAAATATCCAGTCCTTTGATCTTCTTAGATGTCTTTCACCTTCATCTGGGAGGTGAGTACTGATTCCTGCAGGGAGTTGTAGGGAATCTTTCCTTTCATTTAGAGGTCAGTCCTGAGACAGTTTTTTTTGTGTGTGAAATAGTCACTCTTTGATTAATGTAGGAAACTCCTCACCCTACTTCCAGGTTTGATTTTTTTTTTCTTTGCTTCCTTCCTGCTACATCCTAAGACAACAACCATTTTTTAAGAAATCTCGTTCTAACGGTGGGACTTTAAGCAAACTGTCTCTCTCTCTCTTTTTTTTTTTTTTTTTTGGTAAGTTAAATGAACAAACAGTTGGAGGTAGAGAAGCCTTCTTAAGCTGCTTTCTATCTCTATTTTTGTATTGGGCTAATGGTTTGCAAATGGGCTTGGTGGTGTATCTTTAAAGGTAAGGGAGAAGCTGGTTAGGGCCACATTATGTGCTGTCCTTCAGATATCCATTTTTTTTTTCTCTACCATCATGTGCCTGCAAGTGACTTCAAGAGAGCTGGCACAAGATTAATTTAGTATGGTCTACCGAGACCCCGGGGTATGGAAACAGATGGCTTCAATTCTTTGTCAAGTTTCTAAACCTATGGAGCTCCGGTTTCCTTCATCTGTGAAAAGGGTTATTAAATGATGATCAAGAGAAAGAAAGTTAAAATCATGACTCACACATTGTCTGTAATATGTTAATGAGGGAACCAGTAGGATATTTTAAGCAGTTCAAAAGAACATTCTTAGGCAGTGCCCTTAGCTCAGTGGGTAGGGCGCTGGCCACGTGACTGGTGGGTTCAAACTTGACCCAGGCCAGCTAAAAGAACGACAGTGACAACTGCAACAAAAAATAGCCAGGCATTGTGGTGGGTACTTGTAGTCCCAGCTACTTGGGAGGCTGAGGCAAGAGAATTGCTTAAGCCTAAGAGTTTGAGGTTGCTGTGAGCTGTGAGGCCACAGCAGTCTACCCAGGGCACCAGCTTGAGACTCTGTCTCAAAAAAAAAAAAAAAAAGAACATTCTTATATGAGGCCAGTAGAAATGCTAAAATGAGTTTACAAACAGGTGGAAAACTGTGTCCATAGGATAATAATCAGTTGCTTTCTACCAGGCAAAATTCGTCTGTTTTTTCTTTTAGATGGAGTTTCAGTTTGTAGCCCTCAGTAGAGTGCCATGGCGTCATAGCTCACCGCACCCGCTAACTCTTGGGCTTAAGTGATTTTCTTGCCACAGGCTCCTGCCACAATGCCCGACTATTTTTAGAGATGAGGTCTTGCTCTGGCTCAGGCTGGTCTAGAACCTATGAGCTCAGGTAATCCACTTTCCTCCACCTCCCAAGTGCTGGGATTACAGGCATGAGCCACTCCTCCTGGCCTTTCTTTTTTTTGAGACAGTCTCTGTCACCCTGGATAGAGTGCTGTCATATCATAGCTCATAGCAACCTCAAACTCTTGGGTTTGAGCAATCCTGTTGCCTCAACCTCGCTAGTAGCTGGGACTATAAGCATGCTCCACTGTGCCCAGGTAGTTTTTTCTATTTTTAGTAGCAACAGGGTCTTGTTCTTGCTCGGGCTGGTCTCAAACTCCTGCCTTCAAGTGATCCTTCAGCATTGGCCTCCCAAAGTGCTGGATTACAAGCGTGTGTCATTACACTTGGCCTAATTTTTTTTTCTTGCCCGAAGTTAGCGTTTATGTATAAAAATTAGAGTTAGGCTAGGCATTACAGCTCGCACCTATAATACTAGCACTCTGGGAGGCTGAGGTAAATGGATTGCTTGAGCTCAGGAGTTTTAAGACCAGCATGAGAAAGAGTCAGACCCCATCTCTACTAAAAATAGAAAAATTAGCTGGGGTTGGTGGTGTACCCCTGTAGTCTCAGCTCCTTGGGAGGCTGAGGCAAGAAAATCAACTTGAGCTCCGGAATTTGAGGTTGCTGTGAGCTATCAGGACGCCTCGGCAGTAGAGTTTACGTTACAAAAATGAAAGCCAGCATTAAAATGAAAGTAGTTTTGAGGATATAAGGATTATTTTTTTAATAAGTATAGACATACTAAGACCTTTTGAAACTAGCATTAGAAATTACAGTGTTGGCTCGGCGCCTGTGGCTCAGGTGGCTAAGGCGCCAGCCACATACACCTAAGGTGGCCGGTTCAAATCCAGCCCGGGCCC